CAAAGAATGTGGGATTAAAAAAAAAATGGTGATTGGACAATATTTTTTTCCTGGTAGTCAGGAGGATATAGAACTTTGCTCCCTGGAAACTATCTTCTGTTTTTATGATTTTCAGAAGTTTTTATTAGTCTGCCAGCGGGCAGTGGGTAACTCTACACTTGAAGAAAGTGCATCTGACCACACAAACAAAGGTGGGCCAATAACTGTGCAGAAAAAAGATTTACCTTTCAGAAGCAGAGATGTCTTTACACCGCTGTGTCACGAGAATGTACTTCGCTACGGCGTCCCTTAAGGGCCAAAATGCGCTAACTTGACTCTTAAACGTCTGTAGTTCATTCATTTTGATTTCATGTCTCCATACACAGATTATTTCAATTATTGAATAAAATCAAAAATAATTACGACTGCATGTTTTGAATGGTAAAAATAGTTATTCTGGTATTCTATTTTAAATAAGTTTCTGTTTGAATAATTGTATGTAATAAAGTGATTGAAATGTAATTTTAAAACTGAAGAAATTCTTGAAAATATTATACTTTTCTTACTGGTTTTATTTTATTTGCATAACCCTTTCGGTAACACTTTATTTGACACGGTGTGCATAAGACTGACATAACACCTGACCTGACCATGAAGGAGTCTTTATGAACGTCTATGACATTTTGAGCTCACAGATACGAAGCAGTAAGAGGTGGGAGGGGTAACATCTTGGTTCGAGTGATATTTGAAAAAAACAAAAAACAAAAACAAAACAAAACAGGAACGCTCCGTCGATAGCACCTGATAATATATGTTACCTGGCGCTTACTATATCAAATCTAAAGGTGTTTTTGCCATAATCTGGATTGTGAGTGGATCAAGATGGCTAGTAGTAGTGAGGGACTTTTAGAAGATGAAAATATGAATATAGGATGGTCTATGGTAGAAAAAAGAAGAGGAGGAGGTGGGAAAGATAAGGCTAAAAAGGGAATAAATGCTGGTAAAAGATCTCTTGAGGATGAGGAAGAAAGAGCTGAGATAAGGAAGAAAATAATGATGGAAGATTTTAAAATGATATTAAAATTTAAGGCTGGACAGGATATGACTGGAGTAAGTCCTATCAGTTTGTCAAATGGATTAAAGAGAGCTATTGGAGATGTAGAACTAGCTAAAGTCTTAAGGGATGGAAGCCTACTTATCATTTGTAAAAGTGCTGAACAAAAGAATAACGCTCTAAAACTACAAATGGAGTGTAAATAAAGAAGTGCTGGAGAGAAAGCTTGTGAAGGAAGAAAGAGGAGTAAAAGGAGTAATATCAGGGATTCCTGTAGGAGAAAACTTGGATGAACTAAAGAAAATAATCAAAGGAGGAGAGATTACAGGTATCAAACGATTACAGGCTTTTAAGAATGGGGAGAAAATGAGCTTTAATGTAAGAGCCTATATTCCACCTCCTCTCAGATGTTATAAATGTCAAAGATATGGACATACTGCAAACGTTTGTAAAGGGAAACAGAGATGTGGTAGATGTGGAGGCAAACATCCTTATGGTGAGTGCGGAAATAATCCTGTTAAATATTGTAACTGTGGAGAAAGTCATACAGCAGCATATGCAGGATGCATGGTAAGAAAAGAGGCAGCTGAAATTCAAAAAGTTAAAATTGATAAGAGAATTACTTATGCTAAAGCAGTAAGAGAGGTGAAGTATAATGATAAGTTATGAAAGGAATAAAGTGGTAGACAATAAACAATGTAATATTACATTAGAAAAATGTATTCCTTTTCTTGCATATATCATAAATTGCTCAGAACAAGCAAAACCTAAAACTGAAAAAATAAAAATCATAGTAAAGGAAGCAATAAAATTCTTCAATGTCAAAGATTTATCTTGGGGAAAAAATTCATGACGAACTGAGACGTGGTGAAAGATCACTGAACCTGAGGCATGTCAAACTATCACATAATTCTAATATTACAATGGAACGCTTGCAGCCTAATAGCAAATGGTCAGGAATTTTAAGGCTTCATTAATAATCTAAATACAAAACCAGATATAATATGCATTCAAGAAACATGGCTCAAACCATCGTTTCTGTTTAGTAGTTTAGTATTCATGGTTACTCTGTTTTACCTAAAGACAGGATAAATGGGAATGGAGGAGGTTGTGCTATATTCTTAAAGGAAAACATAAAATTTATTCTTTACATTCAAAACGATATGACTTCATATTAGACTCGGGGTGATACAACACCCAAGATTTATGGTCACAATCTTAAAAAAACAAAACAAAAAAAAACAACAACAAAAAAACTCTTACCTTTATTATTTTTTAATAATAAAAAAATGATAATTTTTTTAAAACAAACCTTTGGGGAGATAAAACCAGATACTATTTCCATTCATTAAAAAGGATTTCAACCAGTTTACCTTTAAGACCACATTTAAACATTCAAAGTCAATAGCTTGTAAACCTCTATCTTTAAAGTCTTTTACCATATTTGCTTTCTTTAAATAGTGGACTTGATTTTTCCAGATAAAATTAAAGTTCTATTGATCTATAGCTTTAATATATTTGTTAGGAATGGCCATAGAATAGGCTGGGTATATGCATTGGGAAAGTGACTCCATTTTGGTTAAACAGGTTCTCCCAAACAGGGTCAGATCCTTTTGGAGCCATCTATTTAACTGAGATTTGCAATTCTGTATTGTGTTCTCTATGTTAGCGGTTTCACTAAGTTTAGCATCTCTGGTTATTAAAATTCCAAGATATTTAACTGAAGATTTAATGGGAATACTATAAGCTTATGTCAAATCAGAGCCATGAATCACCATCAGTTCACACTTCTGCAGGTTTAAGGTTAATCTTGATGCTTTGGAGAAAGTATTAATTAACTCCAGAACTTTAGAGGTTTGGTCTAGAGACTCTTAAAAAAAACTGGCATCATCAGCTAGTTGATTGATTATAATTTGGTCATCAAAAATCTTCAATTTAGGTATATTTGAGTTTTTTATCCCTGTTTTTCTCCCCTGTTAATGGTGAAACGTGGAGACGTACCGTGTGGAAGTGCAACTGAACTTGTGGTGCCGTTATAAAAGCTTTCTATTATTCTACAAAAGTTAGGCCCAAATCCAAACAAGTGTAAAACTTTGAAAAGAAACCGATACTCCAACATGTCAAAGGCTTTGTAGAAGTCTGGGAAAAGACTGAAGCCTTTATCCTCAATCAGGTTACTGTACTCAAGTAAATCCTGCACCAGTCAGATGTTATTGTGTATAAATCGTTTGGACATAAAACCTGCCTCAGTTTCAGAAATAACATCCTTAGGACCAGTTTTTAATCTATTTGTGTAGATGTATGTCAATAGTTTATAATCACAGTTTAGAAGAGTAGTCGGACCATAGTTGTCTAGAACCTTGTTGTCTCTTCCTAGTTTTGGTATAAGGGTGATAAAGCCTTGCTTCATGCTGTGTGGAAGTGAATTATTACATAAGATCTCTATACAAACCTGGAATATAAATTATCTTAGATAAACCCAGAAATGTCTATAGAACTTGTCTGTAAGACCATCAGGGCCGGGGGATTTATCCAGTTTCAAGCACATGATGGCGCTGTCTAGTTCTTCCATATTAATGTCTTTGTCACAGTTTTCCTTGAAATCCTCAGAGATTTGAGGGACGAAGTCTTTGACTTGGTCTAGCGGAAGGTCGCAGTCTGGGGTTGAAAAGGAGGAGCGATAAAGGTTTTGATAAAAGTTGCTAATTTCTTTTGCAATTAGAATTTGGTCCGTACATTCATTGTTGTTAATAATAAAGGATTGAATGTGATTTTTAACTTGTCTTCTCTTTTCCAATCTGCAGAAGTATGAACTGTTTTTCTCCCCTTCCTCAATCCATTTAGCTCTGGACCTGACAAAAGCTCACCGGGCCTTTCTTTCGTAGATGGAATCTAATTTAGCTTGTAGAGTCAGGAGGTTATTTTTGTCAGCCTCAGTCCAAATATATTGGAAATAATACAATGGTACAACAATGCATCCTGCATTAATGCCCGCTGTATTTCAGAATTATGAAATAATTCAGCTATTGAGATGGAAGCCTGTAATTTGACTGATTATTGCTGGACTTTAAAGCTGTAAAGTTTTAAGAGCATCAAAACACATCTGGCTATTAAATTGTGTGCTCTACTGTCTCTCTCATAACAAGTCCTCTTTATCAAAACCTAGTTGTATTCATTTTATATTCTGAACCACTTCGCCAGGATGAAATACGAAATGGAACGATGGTAATACATTATAATGATGTTACAAATACAAAACACAGTGTTGGGGTCACACTTTGGTCTTTATTTGAACCTTCTAGACAGATTTTATTGATTCCCGGTCTGTTCCTGCTTGGCATTCATCTGGAAGATTTCTTAGTCAGAACAACATTTAGTTTATTTTTTTGTTGTTGTTTATCTCCAGAATAAATGACACAAATAACAGTACAATATGAATTTTTCAGAACATCCCAGATACTGTTTAGCACCATTAATGTAAATACTAACCTTTTTAAAGAAATAGTGTGTGTAAGTTTGGGTCAAAGAGAAAATGACAGATAAGAGTTTGTTCCTGTAAGCTGAACATTATACAAAAAAAAACAGAAACAAAAAAAAAAAGATGTAAAACCTATAGTGTGCTTGGTTACTACTCAATAATCACAAATTTCTCCTGTGGCATACCTACTGTAGCAGTGCTGACAAGACGTGTAAATGGACACATTGGTTCTGGAAGTGTGTAAAGAGTCGGACCTGAATAGGCTCCTTTCAATTTTGCAAGCAAATTTTCTTCCCGAACACAACACAATATAGAGCCACCTCAGTGCTTTTTTTTTATCCAGGAATGATAATGGTCACAGAGTTACATCTGGTGCCTCTGCGTGGGTTTTACATGTTAGACCGAAGGAGCTGGTCCCTCTGTCCTTCAATGGCTTCTAACGCTATTGTGCAGAGCACTGCAGTTCCTCACTAGCAAATCCAGCGGATGAAGCGCTCAAAGAAAGCAGATTTGCCCAGCACGAAGAAGTCGTCGCCCCTAAAGATGGCAGATGAGTCTCCCATTGACACCTGGCGCAGCACCTCTTCGTCGGTGTCGCCTCCCAAAGCGATCACCGTGGGAACGCCTTCCACTCTCTTCATGGCCTGCACGCCCTCGTCCAGTTGGTCGGTGGACGTTATTCCATCTGTGATGAAGACGAAGGCCACCTCAGCGTTGCGCCGGGATAGCCGTTGATTCTGCAAATGCGAAAGCGGGAGAGGGGGCTTAGCATTTGAGAAAAATTTAGCATTTGAGAAAGGCATTCGGGTCACGCATTTTGTAAAAATGTCGGGTCCAAACAGATGAGAATTTACTGCAGCAATGACAGGATTCACCAGCTAGCAAATCATGTAGCTTTTAGCTGGTAGAAGAGACAATTTCCTTTTTTCCAAAGTCCAAGTCTAGTTTCTTGGCCTAGTAGTGCCATTGTAAACAGAAAAAAAAAGTTTTCTGTCAAGTTTCTACCAAAAAAACTCAAAGATTTGTAGATTAATCTTAGAAATGTACTAGACAAAACAAGGACATTTCTGAGATCCAAAAGTCAAAAATTTACAAAATTTTTTTGAATAATTTAGAGATTAATCTCAGAAAATGGACTAAACAGGGATGTTGTGAATTCACGCATAGAGTCCATATACTTAGGTGACACCAGGAACGTGTTTGAAGGCAACATGTAAGTGAATCACAACAGACAATACATTTGCACATCAGTAGGTAGACATGCCTACTGAAAATGATTGATTGTTAGACCAAATCCACTGTCATACCCTGTTTGTGTGAACGAACAGTACCTGTCTGATCACCAGGTTGTTTATAGCATAGATGATGGCGTTGCCCAAAGCAGACGAGGAGTCCAAATAGTTCACAGCTGCCAGCGAATCCACGATGACGGTGAGATTATGAGTGAGCGGGAACTCTTCTTTGTGGTCTCCCGCACTGCCGAACTGCACCAGAGCCAGACGGGCCTTGGTGTCGTCGGTCGGGCCGTTGGCCAGGGTCAGGCGGCGGGCCACGTTCTCGATGAACTCTTTGGCCCGGAGGTGGTTCTCCAGGCCCATCCTCTCCGAACCGTCCAACATGAAGATCACGTCCACCGGCCTCTGCACACAACTAGCCACAGCTGGCTCTGAAACAGACCCCCACGCGCGCACACACACACACACACACACACACACACACACACACACACACACACACAGCGTAGTGTTCAGTCAGCAACAGCTGGAGCACAGATGTTCAAAAAGTTAAGGCTGAGAAAATACAATAACATGCAACAACTCTTTACATGCTGGCGTCGATCAGGGCTATTAATGTTAAACAAAAACAGTGCTGTTTGAGTTTGCTCTGCCGTTTTTATTTTTTTATTTCTTGCCAACACATAAAGATTGATTACATTCTGTTTTATTTATAACATTGTTCACATCTGATAGACGCAGTCACTGAGCTGGTAAAGTAACATTTGGTTAAAGCTACAAGGTGGTCAATTCTTTCTAGTCATCAGACTTCATAGACCAAGCCACATGCTGTAAAAGTCATGCACCAGCCAGGAGTATAATGTACAATATTTCCATCTCTGTCCGAGCCAAGCACATCACCCAAACATACACATACAAAGGCCTCTGACTCATATACAAAATAATGTGAAATGTATTTATAGACCTGGTATTTTCCATGTGCAATTACTTGTAGCCACCATAAAACACTCACAGGGAATAAAAGTAAAGGCTGTAACCATGGATATGTGCAAAACAGCAAAAAAAAAAAAAAAAGAGAAAAAAGTAGGGAAACATTTCGAGTGATTCATAAAGCTCATGATTCACAGTGGAAATGAGGCTTCATTACAGGGCCATTGTGCAAAAGTAACATGAACGGGTCTACAGTCGACACCATCCATTTTAACTCAAAATAGCTTTCGACTAATATGCTAAAAAAAATAATATGTGTATGAAATTAACATGTTTCTCTGGGAGACAAAAAACGCGTTATGACTGCATGTTAGGGTCATTGTAGACGGATAAAAAGGAAGAGGAGGAAATTTTTTGCTAAAAAGTCAAAAATTTTGAGATTAGTCTCAAATGTGCAAATTTCTGAGATTGAAGTGGAAAATTTGCTATGAAAACAGACAATTTCTAGAATTTTTCTTTTGAAATTTCTTATTTTGACATGTGGAAAATTCCTCTCACTACCTAAGAAAAATCTGAAATTTTGAGATTAATCTCAGGATTTTGCTAGAAACAACTTGGAAATTTCTAAGTATCAAAAGGGGAAAAAATTTAGGAAATTTTAGATAAAAAAAAAATTATTAGAAAATGTCAGGGTTTTTCTTTTGCTGGAAATTGACGTCTTTGTTTTTTATCTACAACGGCCCTAATACACCGTCATAGGAGAGAGAGCCTAATTTACATTTTGAATTCTTTTTCTTCGTCACATTTGCACAAAAACACACAAGTTTGCTCTCAAAGCTCCATGCAGTTCATTTCATTGGCCTATAAATGTATTATTGCACCTTCAAAATAAAAAACAAAATGATTTAAACACAAATCAAGTCATTTTAGCAAGCTTATTATTAGTCAAGGTCATTGAGGCGAGGTAGCATGGTTAGCACTGTAGCACTAACAAAGCCCCAGGGCTTTCTCGGGGTCTCCCATAAGGTCGCCATAGACATATTTAAATGAGTCGATGAACAGCTTGGTCCACTGCTCCCTGTCCACTCCCTGGGAGAGTTTGGCTCTCTGGGCTGTGTACGCCATGGTTGCTATGCCAACCGGATACTGCTGCTTGTTCAGGTTGCTCAGCAGGCTGGCCACACTCTCCAGTGAGGTGGGGACTAAAGGGGGGCTGCCTTCTTCGGCCAGTGGCTTCCAGGGGGGCGGGGCTTCCCCCAGAGTGACGCCCCCTCCTGCAACAAGTGGGTGGAACAACATTGTGGGCAGGGCGTCCCACGAATGCATCAACAGAACCAGTTATGGCGCTGGAGGTACACCGAGTTGGTCTAAAACGAGTTAATCACATCTGAACAAGCATAAATGTGAGCAACGAAAGCAGACATGAGCATCGTTCCAAATGTTACACTGGAAAAACAGAGGTGAAAAGTTTGCAGCTGTTCAATTTTATGTTTTAAAGTTGAGAAACTTGAATTACCTTCAAATTCTGACAATAGTCCTGTAAACCCATTTTATTTCAGCTTATGCCTTTTGAGGCCTAACAGGGCCGGCCAGAGGTATAAACAAACTTTAAACCAGGGGTCACCAACTTGAGGGCTACCATCCTGTAACTTTTAAATGCGTCTCTGCTCAAACACACCTGGATCAAATAAACTGCTCGTTTCCAGCCTATTGCAGAGAGGAATGAATGCTGGTGAGGGAATTCAGACATTTTGGAGCAGAGGTGAATCTAAAAGTTGCAGGATGGCAGCTCTTGAGGACTGGAGTTGGTGACCCCTGCTTTAAACAAACAAACTATAAATAAACGGAGGGCTGTTTAGTGCCCTCTGTTGGTCTGAATGACCCTCAAGCTGCAGTATAAAAAATTTATTTTTTTACACATTTGTTGAAACTGTCACTATGTCGTGACATTACGTATGAAACAGATAATGTATGGAAAAAAAAATCAAGCTCCTCTGCCTTTTCCCAGTGCTAATTAGAAACAACCAATCAGAGCCAGGAGGAGGGTTTTATCTCTGTCAATCATGCCCATTGGCATGCGCTCACCTTCCCATACTTCCCCCTGCTCTTGACTACCACTGCAGCTTCTCCTTGTCAACATAGCATGTCACGAATGCTAAGGCTAGTTAGCATAGCCACCGATGATGGCAGTCAAACGTTTTTTTCTGTAACAACAAGTTGTTTCTCCACCATTCGCACATTCAGCAATGCGTTCACGAGGTTGATCCTTTTGCAGATTATCTATCTCATATTATACTGTCATGACATGGTGACAGTTTTAAGAAATATGTAAAAAAAAAACATGTATTTTTATTAAAGTTACGAGCCGCAGCTTTAACGACACATTGGCAAACAAAACAGTTATACATGTATTAGATTCTTATAAATGAATTCAAAACGTAGAATTCACAAATATTAACTCATTAAACACAACAGAGTGATATTTTAGTTTTAATTTAGATGGATATGGCTTATATTAAATTAAAGCAAAACTTTTTTCTTAGATGATATGTATATTACACAAAAAGGCTGCGATTGTCCCTATTGGTTTATTATTTTTTTCTACTAGGCCTTTTCCCTCCACTCAACTTTCCATTAACGTACTTGGATACAACACTCCATAGACTCTTTAGCAATGGCCTTTTCTGGTTTACCTTTTTTGAGGAGAGAGAAAAACAAGCAGTCTTCCCTACGATTAAGTAGGCCAAGAGTTCTGTGCTATGTCTAATACTCAACATTTCTGAGAAATTGAGTTTTCCATAATTATAAATGTTAACAGACATTGTAATATGTCACTCTGCATAATCGATCTTTAAAATACTGGCATTCCACGTAACAAACCAGAATCAGGCCTTCAAATGAAATGCTGGTCCAACCCTGCAAAAAAACAAACAAAAAACAAAAAATCCCATACCTAGAAGCATCGAATAAGACTGGTCTTACCTGATTTACATGGAAGATCAGGGCATATGATGACAGGATCTGAGAAAAAAATTAAACAATAACAAACAGTTTATAGACTATCATTGAACTCTCCACCAAGTAGACATGCAGTACATACAGTACTGATCTGCTGTGTGATTTACCAGGGCAGAGCACGGTCTCAATCTTGTCAATGAATTCCTCCGCCACCAGGTCTGCGAATCGCCTCATTCCCATCACTCTGCCCTCCTTCTGGCAGGCAATGCTCTGCAGACTCTCGTTCTCCTCGACCTGCTCAAACATGTCCCCGATGCCGATGGCACTCACGTCGACGCCCGGGTGACTGTCCACGCGGATCGATACGGACGAAAACAAAAACAAGCTCTGAGATAAGGCTCTTTTTGCGCAACGTCACAGTCCCACATTTTAAGACACAGAACAGCAGTCGCACTTGCACAGATATGGCAGCAGTCTGTCGTCGTCTCTTGGGTCAAAGCGACCGTCTGTAATCACGACCACCGTGACGTTGGCTTTGGCTCGGCGGCTGTCCCTGATCAGGTGGTCGTAGGCAAACTTAAGAGCAGATGGAGTCCAGGTTCCTCCTGCGATCCACTCTAACCGCTTCACAGCTTCCTGGACAGGAAGGGGGAAGAGGATGGTGGCAATGGATTTGTTAAAAATGGACACAAAAAGCCACACAATGTATATCTACGACAATATTTCTGAATTGCAATTTTTAGCTTTAGTACTTGTTTAGTAAAGTAACGTGTGCTTATATCCCTATCTGCCTCATAAGGGGCCTCAGAGGTTTTGATGCATAGAATCCAGTTCCAGATGTATGGAAATACAGGATGATACTGGGTGATACTTAAGACAACATCTCCTCCAAGCAGATACGGAATATTTTAGATGGTTTGTGAAATAGCTTAAAAAGTTTTTGAGCAGTTTCTAGTGCAGATAAGTCCAAGTGTTGTTGGAGCATTCAGTAACACATCAAGTATAAATAGCACCAAAGCAAAAAATCAAAAGCAGGGTGTCCTTGAAGACAAAGTAGAGAGATACATGAATCTGGTGTCAGATCTGATCTCTGTTTAACTTCCTTCAGCCATATGTGAAAATAGACCTGATCAGCTCATACAGCCAACAGGATGGAAGAGCCATCTGCTAAATATAAACTTTTCTGTAATGTATGTCAGTGTTTATTTCTGTTCCAGTGTTGGTGAAACCTTAAATGCCGTCAGTGAGTTGATGTTGCTGTCATTGAGATTGATTGCTTGGAAGGTCCCATTGTGGCTGTACTGCACCACACCGACCCTTGTGCCTGTGAAAACAGAGGGCCTCCTTGTTAGAGTGCTTCAATTCACAATCACTTTTGGAAGTGTTGGCATTGCACTTTGACATCTGAACCTGTTTCGGACTGTGGGTCCTTGGCAAAAGATCCCAGTCTGTTGATGGTGTTGATGACAAAGTTCTTTTCCAGGGTGAAGTTGGTGAGTCCCACAGACTCTGAGCTGTCAATGACAAAGACGATATCCAGGGCCCCGCAGCGTTTCTCGCAGTCTGGAGATTTAAAAATAATGCAACCAATAAGTAATAAACATAAAACAGAGGTTAGAGGCTCCTACACTAAACTCACCACAGCAGCCACACGTCTCTCTGATGTAGTTCATGACATCACATTCCTGCGGGCAAAAACACAATCATGACCTTTAAAACCTCTGAGTTTGTGTTTCATTCACTGATAAAACTGTAATTAGATGTGTTCTCACAGTAAGCCCGGGATCTCCCTCTGGACCTGGATCTCCCTGTCGAGGAAGACAACTTAAATTTACCTTTGGAATCTGTTTTGCTAAGAATACCACTCTAGGTGCCTAACGTCATTTGTTGACTTACATCTCGACCAGGACCTCCTCTGGGTCCTCTTAGCCCTGGTTCCCCTGTGGGCCCTGGTTCACCCTGATGAAGGCAAAGGGCTCACTTAGCTGAGATGCTAAGTAAAACATTATCCATAAATGCATCTTTGAAGTTACTTACTGGCTCTCCTGGAGTTCCTTTATTTCCAGGATCTCCCTTCTGACCACAGTCTCCTCTGCTGCCAGGGGGTCCACGCTTGCCTGGGTCCCCTCTTTCGCCCTACAAATGAGCAGAGACAATCCATGTCAATTGAAGCAACTTGACAACAAAAGGCTGAAGATCTCCAAGTGCCTATGTCTCGTACTGGATCTCCTCTTGGTCCAGGATAGCTAAAGCCAGGTCTTCCAGGATCTCCCTGCCAAGAAAGTAAAAACGCATATGAAGTAAACAGAGAATGACATTACTGTGGACAAAGACAAATCTACTGCTGGTAACCTTTGGTCCAGGCTGCCCAGACTCTCCTCTTGGTCCCATATCACCAGGGTCTCCTCTGGTGCCCTAAAGTTCAAACAGCGTCAGACGGCATCTCGGGATTTCTTGAGATGATTCATCAAATGCAGCTTTTAACCTACGTTTTTTCCAGGCTCCCCTGAAGCTCCTGGTGGTCCTCTAGGTCCTGGCAAGCCAGTGTCTCCCTGTTTAGATAAAACACAACGGAAGTTACATTGAAAGTTAAAGTATATTAATGAGACATTGAAAGTTAAAGTATATTAATGAGGACATACCGTTGACCTTCATCTAATAAAATGGGTCTTTCTACCTTTGCACCTTTGCTTCCTGGTTCTCCAGGGACTCCTCTCAAGCCCTCTGGTCCCATTTCGCCCTGAAATGATATCACATCGGTCTTCATCTGGATGCTGCAATATGGGAGGAAAGTTCTACAAAAATCCTTAGAAACTCTGTAGAAAGTTCTTACAAATGGGTGTGTGAACACCTACCTTCTCTCCCTTGGTACCATCTGGTCCAGGTTCACCTTTGGGCCCATAGTCTCCTCTTCTTCCCTAAAAAAAACCCCCAAAAGCCAAGAAGGCCATCAGGCTTTGCAAAGACAGAACATGCACAAAAATATCTGAATATTCTGGATACTCTTACTTCCTCGCCTCGTTTTCCAGGACTTCCAGGGATTCCCTAGAAAACAAAACATGTACAGATCAACCATTCATTGCATTTGACAGTTTGGGTTTGAATGGACTCATCTGTCCTAATCATCTTACAGAGGCTCCTTTAGTTCCAGGAACGCCAGGTGACCCATTACTTCCTCTTTCTCCCTGCAAATGAAACATCAGAGTTTAACCTATTAGCTGAAACAGAAAACATCTGCTTTCTCTGTCCATTTCTGGTTTACCTGTGATCCATCTTCTCCAGGCGGGCCAGGGGGACCGGCTCTTCCTGGGCGCCCAGGGTCACCCTGGAAACAATGAGTCAGTTTTTAACAGTGACCTGCAAGAGTGAGAAGTAAGGGTTTTACAACCAAATGTGTTACCTTCTCCCCATCAGTTCCTGGAGGACCACGTTCGCCGACATCTCCTGGATGACCATCGGGACCCTGGAAACCATTTGATTCTGATCATAAATTGACTATAAAGATGCTCAAATGGCCTTCGATGATGATAAGTGTCATACTCTGTCGCCTGGGTCTCCTTTGCAGCCTGGGGCACCAATCCGTCCAAGTTTTCCCTGAAAGTAGGGAAAAGTTGCAAAATAAGTGTGTCACCAAAGAACTCTAGAGGTAGTTTTAAAAGATTACAAGCTCTGTGGTAAAACTTTACCTTTTGTCCATCGGTTCCGTTACGTCCTGGAATACCAGCCACACCCTATTGGCAATAAACAGACCCGGTTAGAGAAACTGAGACTGGTTGAAAACCAGTACTAATAGGTAACAAGTTTGAAATCATCAACCAAACCTACCTTTTTGCCCTGAGTTCCAATCTCCCCCTGTATTCAGACAGATTGAAAAAAATGCTTATCAATTATTATTATTATAGCATCAGCAGAGTGAATCCTGAACACCTTTATCAGAGCAAGAAGATCTTTTGAATCCCCACAAAACCAAGTTGAAGTCTCACCTTCTCGCCTTTTGAACCAGGTTCACCCTATGAAGAGAGGAAAAAGGAAAACCACTTCATAAAATGTTAGTACTCGTCAAAGCTCAGTTAAAATCCAGTTGGTGAGACCCTCCCACCTTTACACCAGGCTGACCGATGGGACCTTCAATGCCGGGGTCTCCTGGGCGACCTCTTTCACCCTTTAGTCCTGCTTCACCGTTGTCTCCTTTAGCTCCCTGGTCAACAAGTTAAAACATGATCAGCGAAGGAAAGCGGCTGAAATATGTCGAGATCATGTGAGTGTGTATGTGGAAAACTCACTTTCTGTCCTCTGTGCCCTTTTGGACCAGGTTGCCCTTTTGTCTCCAGGCACGACACATTATAACACTAGTGATGCAAAAATAAAGCGGTGAGTGAGAACGTAACTGCCTACTTTAGATATTTCAAAGATAGTTCTAGTAACAGTCCAGTCTTACGTCTACGAATGCCATATGTCTCTGTAAAGAAGAAGAAGAAACTGTCAGGCCGAGAGGTAAAATCAATTAAGTTTAATGTGTGAACGTATGTTTGAGCATTACCATTGTCTTGATAATGCGGTCAATCGTTGCGGTGTGTATGGTTGGTCTGCCTTTGCTAAGGTCCACAGCCATGAAGTCGTCCCTGAAGACCGACGCCGGGGAGTTGGCAATCTCTTTCAGTCCCGTCTCCTCGATGTTCGTCGATGCTGCCACGGCAAACACCCTGATGCCCTTATCACGCGCGTCTTCCGCCGAGACCTTGATGCCCCCACACGGGTTTCCAGTCACGTGGCCGTCAGTGATGACCACAGCGAACCGCAGGGGTGTGACACTTGAAGCGGGTCCAAGCAGCATCTCCTCGGACATTCTTCGGAGAGCGCAGTCGATGTAGGTCCCTTTTCCAAGGTACTTCTCAATTCTCACAAGAGACTGGAAAGATAAACAAGCGGATCATCACAAGGTGGAAAAACCTTTGGTGTTATATAGACAGGTTGTGCCCTGAGTTGACAGAGGATGGAGCAAACAAAGGAAATTATCCAAGGTGCAGAAGAGTTGCAGACTGATTTCGAATGATTGGAGTGCAAAATGAGCTTAAATATCCAATCATTATAACAAAGATGTTTTCACTACCAATTCAGAATGCAAAACACAATGAACCTTGAAGCGGAAAGGCATGGCAACAGAGAGCCTTGAAAGGAGATCTTTCAAGGCTCCTGTCAGCTAAGAACAGGAAACTGGGGTTAAAATGTCCACAGGCTCACTAAAATTGGCTAATAATTATAAATCTTAGCTTTAAATACAACATTCCTGTAGGTAGGGTCAGACTGTGGAGTAAACAGAATGACAGCAGGGGTCCATCCTGGGTTATATCAGCTGGAGTGATGTGGAGGATTATTTCTTGAGACACTTTGGGTCGGTTAGCATGAACTAAAAGTTGAAATGTTGTTGCTGCTGAGCATATCCACCTGATATCATTAAATCATCTCATTTAACATGATAATAAGTTTAACGTACTCCAACAACCTCCATTCCTGCTAATGCTACTCATCTCAAATATCTTTTTTAAACACAATCAAGGAATAAAACCATCTTTCAAACATGCAATCACTAAAGCTGCACAATATATTGCAAATATAACGTCATCACAATACCAGTGTGTACAAAGTTCATAAAGCACAGGACTGCGTGGACTGCAATAATTTTTGGTTAATATATCCCAAACTTGAATTTTACATGCTAATGTAGCATTTAGCTAGTTGAACATATGGCAATAGATGCCCAAAATGCTAACAGCTATGAAGTGATGGAAGCACAAACGAAAACAAATTTTATCATTGCAATATTCACCGATATTATCGCTACATTTTCTAATATCACGCAGCCCTAACAACCACCAATGAATGATTTTTTACATTATTATTATTTAACCTTTACTTAAACAACAAAGTGCTTAAAAACAACACAATACCTTTTGCAAGGGAGAACTCGGCTAGGCCATACACAGATTTGTGAAAGGAAACTTTTCCTGAGTTTGGCTCTAGATCACCAGCTGTATATGTAATTGTAGGTTGTTGTAAGAATAGTACGGAAATATGTTCAAAAGTTCATGACCTCTGAGAACTTTGAACTGAACAGAGCATTTTATAACATGGAACATCAAACAAATGTAAATTGGGTGGTTAGCTTAGCCAGCTGTAACATCAAACAAACGTGAATTTTAATATGAAGTCTGAGAGGGCTCCAAGCTAGTGAACAAAATGATTTATCATTTGCGATCACAAATATTCAAACTTAATGAAACACACAAGATGCTGCTTTGGCATAAGTTAAGAATAACTTTAAATGTTGACATCAGCAACACCTGTGTTTACCTGAAGCTTCAACATGGATGCAGTTAATAGGCCACATTAACACAACACGTCTTTCTAACGTTTAAACAAATATGAATGGGGATTTGTGGAACAGGCCTGTGTGAGTTCGTGTGTGCGTAGTGTAGGTCTTACGGAGAGGAACGCGTCCTTTCCTTGGATGGGGCTGAAAACCTCCTGTGTCTGGGAGAAGTGCAGTCCGCCGATAGCCCAGGTGATTGGAACAGCGTTCCGGATTTCTTCATCTTTCAATCGCCGCACAAACTGCTCCGTGAATGACTACGGAAAAGGAGCGACAGAAAACATCATACTACATACAGTACAGGGTGAAAAAAGTGAACAACGTTTCTTTAATGCCTCAAAGAAAGTGGGTGAAAATGAAACGCATAACATGACTTCTACAGCTTACGAGAATTCGCCTCTACCGGATTTTAGTTTCACTCTTTTGGGAACAAGTACGTTCAATTTAGCAGAAAACTCACATGTCACAGTTGGGATTTACTCACTTGAAAACAGAAATCCGAAAGTGTATCATTAATTAGTTCACTATTATTAAGACGTGCAAAAAAATAATCCCAGGCAGGGATTCAAAACCAGGACTTTCTTGCTGCAAGCTAACATTGCTACCAACTGTGGCATGATGGCAGTTTTCAGTGTCTATTTTTCAACAAACTATATATTTATACTGGAAAATCTGTCCTATTCCTTTGTGCCTGCCTTCAAAAGCCTGTCAAGTATGTGTGATGACATTCATAAGTCAGAAAATGAAATTAAAGCAGTTTTGCAGCAGCACGGCTGTATCTGCTGAGAGAGTAATACATAAAAAGATTGCAAAAACAGGAACTGTGGCAAACAACGTGGAATGACAGCTGCGAGGAGGAAGGACACAGAGGTCAAAAAAATCTTTATTACTCACTGTTAAGAAATCTGGAGACAATATTTAGAGTGAGAGACTGAATCTGGAAGATGAATTTATTCTGAGGCTTTCACGTTATCAACAAGGATACTAAAAGTTGTGCTTTTGTAAAGCTGAGCGAAAAGATGAAATTACTTAGAGGTAAGGACACAAACAAGAATTTGGCTTCCAAACATTTATTGTGGTATGTCAAGTTTTTACGTTGGTTAATAAAGTAAACCAAAGTAACTGAGTGAGCACTGCTCACTGGTACGGTAGAAAAAGCAGTGCCTGTGAACAATTTTTGTCTTTTTTTAAATTTTATTTATTTCCTCAACTGAATTTATTCAGATTCTCAACAACTTAACGAATCAACGTGACTGCTTTTGATGAGGATTTTGAAATTTAGTTTTTTTTTTAAAATGATTTTTCATTTCACTGACTGAAAATATGGACAAGTTTGAATTTTCAGTTAATTTTTTTGTTGTTTTTAAAGGAATGGCATGTTTTCTTGTCTTTGCCATTTTGAAGAACTGCTGAGGGAATTTGACCTCTGTGCGTTTCATAGATAACATTTGGATTTATTTATATAAAATAATGCCTATCATTGTTCAATGCCCGGTCTAATTAATTATTTAGCAGAAAAATGTTGGATCATTTTGACAATTAATTAACTAGCACAAATTACTAATCAAATATTTACCATGGCAACCTTGATATTTCTATGGTCAATATGCCACATTTCTACACAAGGATTGAACTCCCAGCTGAACTACATTAGAGTCTGGATTAGCTTATGTATAAAGCAGTATATTAAACTGTGATAATTTCACAGCAACAAAATCTTCCTATCTGTGACTAAACTTTATTAACCGTCAGAACTGTGTCCTCTCAGTTCGTCGCTCTGTAAAACAGTGGGTAAAAGACGAACCCGGATGCTTTTCACCAACGCTCCAGGGGGCGACTCCTGCAACGCGATGGTCTCAGATGTGTCTATGGTGAAGTACAGGTGTATGGGACATTCTTTCCTCTCTGAAAGAAGCACACCAGCGGATGTGGTTAAAACGTGCTTGGCGTTGCACTGTTACTGTTGCCGCGGAGATGGTGGCACTCACGGTTGCAGTCTGCTTTCTCGGCGTGAGTCAGGGCTCCGAGGAGAAGGCAGAGCACGACGGTCTCCAACGCCAGCATCTTCTTCTTCTTTTTTTTGCTTCTTGTTCTTCTGTCTAAAACAAAGAAGAAGGGGGAAAAAAAGAAATAAGGCACACCACATGAGTTGACACAAACGTTGCTGGTCTTTCCATGCTGGCAACGTGTTAAAATGTAAAGTGTTAGGAGCAAACTGATAAAATAAAAATTAAACTTGCTTTGTTTCCATCATGGAGCGTTAATTTGTTGTCTATAAAATTCTGAACATAATTTCATCTATTCTCCAAGCCAACTGTTTCAGATTAAAAATCCAGCAAACAATGGCAATGGTTTTTGCAGAGTGAAACAAATGGCTGCCAAACAATTAGTTATATTAATGATTTCATTGAACACTAGTAAAATAGAGTTTAAATTAAAGCCTTAAATGAGAAGCAGCTACCAAACTTCAGCAATAAACTGTAGAAATGCACTCAGCGTCCTGCTTTCAGGTTAGGAAAATATTATTTTCAGGCTGTTTACACAAAAGTAAACTGATTACAGCTACATATTTTGATGAATTTGATTATGTATCCAGCGAAAGGCCTCATATTTAGTTTTGTCAGTTGGTTTCTAAAGTTTACTGCCCCCTAGAGGATTTCATCTCTGTCACAGTCAGATTAACCTGTACACTATGGCCTTGGACAGTGTTTCCCTAACCCTGGTCTTTAAGGCACACTGCTCTGCATGTTTTAGATGTCTCCCTCCTCTAACACACCTGATTCAGATTATTGTAGTTCAGTAAAAGCCTGTTGACCAGCCGTCAACTGAAATCATGTGTGCTGAATCAAGGAAACACCTAAAACATTAAGGGCAGCGTGCCTTGAGGGGCAGGCTTGGAAAGAGTTTGTATTACTTTTCTGCATATCCAGTCAATAATTGATGTACACGTTGAAGCTGGTATGTAATTTGTTTCTGCCAAATCTGTTTCATGGTCTTCTCTTAAGGAAGACCAGGAAATGTGTGTTGGATGTTTTTGAGATTTTTTTTTAAATCACTCAAACATTTACAACATATTTTGCGTATTTTTGTTTTGGATTTTTTTGTATCAGGACCGCTTTCAGAATGTTGTAAAGTCTTAAATTGTGTCTAAAAGTAAAGCCTTAAAATGTCTTAAATTCATTTTTTTAAAGTGCCTTCATGGCTGCAGCCCTATAGTCACCTGTCTTCCTTATCTTTGTTTCTTTCTTTGGATGGGTTGTACTGAAATAAATTGTCATGCTTTTATGTAACAATAAAAGCATTCTGATTCTGAAAAACAAGTAAGTTGGTCTTAAATATGTTTTTCACAGGTTTTAAATGTTGTCTTGGCAGAACTATTTAATTTCAAATAATCTATATGTTTTTTTTTGTCATGGGATGTTTCTGTAAGGCAAATGCTTGAATCACATGAAGACATCTTCATTGTATTCTGTGACTCAAGGCTATTGATGATCCACTGCTAACATACTGGTGCTAGCTAGATAGCTAGCTAGCTTTGTCTTTTTTGTGTCTGTAGCCTAAAGGCCAAATGCAAATCTATTGCCAGTTGGTTAGACAAAGTTCGTTCATTTCTGTGGAGATACAGGTTTTAAATTACATTCGTAGTGGCCTTAAAAAGTCTTAAATTTGAGTTGGCGAAAACTGCAGAAACCCTGGCTTTACATTGAGGCAGCCACTAGAAGCAAAAAACTAAAACAGACTCGCGCACCTGGACTGGATGAATCTACCCTGATCACAAATTCTTTTAAACAGTTTGTATAGATAGAAAAAGCTGTAATAAAAATAAATATTTATCCCTCCACAGACTTATTATCCTTTTTTTTCCATCCACTCTTAATATTTCAGATAATCAAATTAATTACAATATGAGATAAAGACAACCGGAGTACATATAAAAAGGCAGTTTTTAAGTAGCTAAACAAAACGTAGCTGCCCCTAGCATTGTGCTAACAAGCAACTAGTATTTCATACACTGGACACATTTTAGGCCACTCTCCTTGTAGAATGGTTTTAATATTCCCAGTTGGGAGGAGTTTGGAATGAATGTGGGCCATGCAGCAGCAACAAGACCAGTCACAACTTAATTTTTGTTGTTTAGCCAATCAGAGGTGGACATAGGGTTGCTTAGTTTACTGTTCACTCATGAATACCATGAGTTTGATCATGGTATTCATGTACGATTCATAGTTCCAACAAATACGTGAAGTAACTCAGTAGTCCAGGTCCAGAAGCAGCAAATGACCACCAGATCATCACGCCACCGTCGCGGTGTTTCGACTGACCTTTTTCTGAAACTCTGTATGTTTTATAACAGATATAACTGAACATACAGTTTCCAAAAGGGTCCAGTTTTTTTTTCTCTTTAGTCATCAGAATATTTCCACAAATGTCTTGAGGATCATCGAGAGATTTGTGGCAAATGTGGATAAAAAAAACTGTGGTTTTGTTCTTGGAACTCTATCACGGAACACGAACTCTGACCTTCTCTGAGGAACGTGAGCCCTGCACTGGATTAGATGTTAGTTTTATTTTCCTCTGGATGAATCACTAATGATTCACTGTCTTAAAGGACAGCCATTCCTTTAAGACTCACTGCTCTATAGATAATGGCTCCCATTGTGATTCCCTGGAGTCTCAAACATTTTAAATGGCTTATTAACCATTTTTAGGCTGGAAAAAAAAGGCCAATGTTTCTCAACTGTGCATGAATTTCTATCTTCATGTTATCCAACAAGTTATATTTAAGTGATCATCATTCAAAATCTGCGTTTCTTTTTTGTATTTACTCAGGTTCTTTTTGCCTGACACCAAAATCTGTTTGATAATCTGAAACATTTAAGTTTAACAAAATAAAGAAAGAGAGTAGAAGAAGGGCCCCCAGGTGAGATTATTGAAAGAACCTCCCTACCAAATCCTGAACCATTTGTGACCCAAAGGTTGAAACATCACATGCAGCGTCCTTTAATATCACAAAAAGTCCAAACTAAGTGCTGCTGGGGAGCAGAAATAGCATGTAAACAATTATCCTCCTGTGTCCCTCTTATTTGTCACTCAGCACAAATCTGAGCAACTTACAGCAAGTAAGTGACAATCACTGAGTTTATGCAATTTACAAAAACCTCAAAACCCTCACGAAAAACAAAATGTCTGCCACTTTAGAGCGAGAAAACACAGGATAATTATCTATCCAGCTTCGAGGATCTTTAATTAAACAACCTACAAACTGATCCTAAACGTTTGAGCCCACATGGAAAGAAATAATCACTTTCCACAAGTTTTCCAAAGGAAGTTTTCTTACTCATCATTCTTAGCTCTCCTTTAATTGTGAATTGTCGACTGACAGATTAAGGGGCCACGCGCTTTGCTGTGGCGCCCTCTCGCGGACAGAAAACAACGCAGTGGAGAGGAGTCGCTCCTGCAAATGTTTTCACTCTTCTCCAAGGAGCCTAATCCAGTCACCTCACTTTGCAAGTGAAAATCATGCACACAAAAAATGCAATCAAGAGAGCAGAGCGAGACACTAAGCTTCAAGAAAGTTTGGAAGTTTTCAGAGGACGTGGATGCTCAGATCAAACTTTAATCAAGCATAAGTTTTGGGTTACATTTCATTAAGAAGCAAAAAGAAGAAGAGACAAATTCGTTCAGATACAGTAAGAGTAAAGACAACCACGTCTGGAGAACTGTTGTGCGTAAAAGAGCGCAGCTTACCTGGACTCTTGGGCACTTCAAACTTTTACGCAGCGGGGGCCCGCTAAACTGGTTATGTCCTCATCTCCACAGAAGGGAAAAGGGGGGGAATTCGGGAGGACAACGCGGGAAAGAAAAGCTACGAGATGTGCGCTTACTTCCCGCAGCAGAGAGCCGTCCTCTCGCCCTGCCGTCCCGGTCCAAGCCCCAAGCCAAAAAAAAAAAAAAAAAAAAAAGTCCTGATCCCTCCTCTGAGGAGCGCGCGCGACATACCACAGTGTGCGCCGCTGTCCGCGCGGGGGCGCCCTGGCTCCGTCGGAGCCCGCGTGCACGCGCGCGCGCGGATTGTCACGACAGTAAGGTAGCAAGCTCGCGCCAGTAAATGATCAACGACGCCTGAAGGGCCGCTCGCGCGCTGCAGCCTCCGCTCGCGGACGGATTTGACTTCAAACCGGGTTGTGATTCCCGTTTGGCATCAGACGGAGTGTGGACGCATGATAAGCCTGGGGGACAGATGCAGAATGCTTAGGACGGACTTTACTATTATTATTATTATTGTTGTTGTTGTTGTTGTTATGATTTAATCTCAAACATGTGGAGGGTTTGAAGTCGTATAGAACAGGATAGAGAACAGACTGAACGCCGTCAATAAAAAACACACATGCGCACGAATGCTGCGCATGTGTGTTTGTGATTAGTAGGCAGAGTGAGGGGAGTTTACAGCCGGAGTAAACACTTACAGCCCGACCATGAGACTTCTCATCATGTTTGTACATTCGTAGGTGCACCAGTTTTTTTTTTTTTTTTTTTTTTTTTTTGTTCCCCCCATGTGTTTGAATTATTGTGCACATAGTGGGAGGTCTTCCTGTTAGCGTTGAGAAATTTGGCGAATTTGCACAGACGCATGAAAAGTTTTAACAGTTAAACTTTAATTTAGTTTGATTTTTGCTAATTATGCATGCGAAGGTCATAACCGTCTGGCCCAGAAAGCAAAAGAGGCTAAAGAGGCAGTATTATCTAAATTCGACTTTTAAATCATGTTATAATGTTGTTATCTCATCAAAAACATACCTGGACTGTTGCCTTGATACTTTAAACTCCATAGTAACCAGTCAGCTGTGCAAAATGCTTGATGGGACCAGACACAAAGCCAAAGTTTCCAAGCTTCTGCCTCACAGAGCAACAGAGCAGCCCTTACCCTTCAGACTAGCCAGCAGCAATTAGCAAACATGTGCGGATCTGCTGAGCTCATTGTAGGAGCTCAGCAGATGCAATGCTGCAAAAAACGTTGTTGAAGGGTTAATAGAGGAGCGATGTTGTTATGACATCTTGACGACGGAGTGTCAGAAAGCATAAGAGTTTTTTTTTAAGGGGACAGAGGCCCAAAGTCAATTAATTTTACATATATACAACATTTTTATAACAACTGAAGGTAATGTAGTTACTTGACTGGACTGTAAAATAGGACAATGTGGCTGGAAAACACACAAGCTCCTTCAAACAGCTTTTAGATTATACTAAGCCATCTTCAGATTTTGTTCCACAGCAGTAAAAAAAAAAAGTTTTGCATTTTCTCAGACTGAACAGAGATGATCTGTGAACATTATAATTTCCAAGTCTTTTCAGAGATTTTCAAGTCTGGACTTTGACTGGGACACTCCAGCACCTGAGAATATTCTGATCTAAACCATGCTATGCGGATCTGGCTTTACGTTTAGAGTCGTTCTCTTGCTGAATATCTGATGGACTCTGATGTCTTTTTAGCCTTAGGCAATTTTGCTTTCAGAAATGTCTTATTGTGCTTCCCATAGTGCCTTCAGGTCACCTTCTTCAAACTAAATGAAATGGGTGTCAAAAGTTTGTGCAGCAAACATTTCCGTTTGTCCTGCTATCACTTTAAAGATCTTAATAAATGTTTCCAGAGGTCATCAAAGGTCAACTCCACGTTTACAAAATCAATCAAAATATGGTGTCAATCAACTGTTTTATATTTGTGCAACATTTTTTG